ATTTCCAGAAATGTAACATTACCAAGTCAGATAATGCTGCCCTTCTGCAGCTCCAGAACATCTAGTGGCAGATAACATTCCAGCTATCTTTTCTTTTCTTTTTTTATTCCTTCCTTTTTTCTTTTTTATTTAGTTTATTTATTATTTAAAACGTTTCTATACTGACTTATCACTGACGTCTCAGGATGGTTCACAATAACAGCAATAAAATAATAAAAATATAAATAAAAATATAAAAATATTTGTTTCTTTTTAACACAAGCAGTTGTGGGAATACTCCAAGAAGTAGTCCTCCAGGATAGCATTGCTTACTCAAGCTGGCATATTGATTCAAGTTCCAAACTAATAAAGTGGACAACTTTGCTTGTTCTTGTTTCTTCATTTTCAGCCTTGTCACATGTCATCTTATGGCAGCAGGGTAGCTCCATCATACAATTAGAAATAAAACAGTACAAACAGTACGATCCTATGCAAGTCTGTTCAGAAGTAAGACCAACCATGCTGTACCCAAAGCTGAAATCCTATAAACATTTACATAGCAGCAGATCCCCCCCACCCCCAAATTCAGTAGGACTCAGTTCCAAGTAAACAACTTTAGGATTGCAGGGTGGGGGGCAGGTTCATCATAAGCATTGGACATCTTGTACAGGCACCTTGTGCAGGGTCCACGGGGGTGACCCATTCCTTTGATTACCTTCCTCCTTGGACCAACACTAGTCTTTTATTTATTTATTTATTTTTCGATTTATATCCTGCCTTTTTCCTACAAAGGGCTCAAGGCAGCTGACATCATTCTCCTCCTCCATCTTATCCCCACAACAACAACCCTGTGAGGAAAGTTGGGCTGAGAGGCTGTGACTGGCCCAAAGTCTCCCAGGTGGCTCCGTGGCCGAGCGGGGACTAGAACCCAGATCATCTGCGTCCCGGTCCCCTGCCCTTAACCACTACACCACATTTATTACACCATTTATTGCTCTCCTTTTCTGTGTCTTTTCATGTCTTTTCTAACATGCTACCCTCCAGATGTTTCCCATTAGCTAGCATTGGCCATGCTGGCTGGGAATGATGGGAGTTGCATTCCATTCTACCTGGAGGGCAACAGGTTATGTAAGGTTGACCTATACAATGAGTTTTTCTTTCTTTCTTCTTCTCCTCACAGACCACCCTTTTGATCCCCATCCACTGGTTCTTTTGTGCTGAACTATCTAGACAAACACCCCAGTTGCCCAAAGGTTGGCGTAGTCTTGCTTTCAGAAAACTTTCAAAAATCTTCCATGATAAATGTGTCTTATCAGCAACATACTTCCATCCTCAACCCCCATTTTGAAGCTAAGTGGATTAGGAATTGAAGCTCATTCAGATGCTTGTTTTATTTCATGCTGGCTTGCCAATAAGTCCCCTTTCCTGTATCTTGAGTCAGGATAAACATTTTGTAATTCAAGATCTACTGCACAAGGAGTCAAGGAAAGGATTTTAGATGCATGTTGGGTGCTTGACTACAAGGAACCTTGTCTTAAAGTGCTGTGTGTAGCATAGGTTGCGACAGATGCTTGAAGTCTTCCAAAATTCCTATAAAGTTTTGCTTTTTTTTTTTTTTAAAGGATTATTCAAGCTCCTTTCTCTTTTGTCTCAGTTTGAATATAAGTTGGCTTTATCAATATTACTGGGTCTTCAGTCTATTAGATCTGTGTCCACTAGTAATGCAGGGTAAAATATTTGCTCTGTTGGAAGATTATGTGATATTTGTATTCTAAGTCTCACCACAGTGGGTTTCTTTAAATAGAAGCTATACTTTACTCCTAAATTGCTTAAGGCAAAGGAAGCAGAGATGATGTTTATGAATGTTTAAATGCAAATGGAACTGAGAGTGAATGCTATGCTAGCTAACATCAAAGGCTCACCAAAGACTCTGCATTAATGAGCCTCTTTGTTTCCTGGATCACAGATTACAACAGGTTTCCAACTCATTGCCAAGGTTTTATCTCCATTTGGGAGGGCTGTAAATCTCAGGCGACCTCTTTTTCACATGCAAAGTAAGAGAATCATCTGAAAACGAGAGGGAGAAACAAAAAGAACTAAAGGGAGCAAATATTTCCAATTCTCTCCCTTCCTCGCTTCCCTTCGATCGCAGGCAAAACTGGGCGCGCAGCAGGAACATTGACAAACGGTATACCAATCGTCCTACTTCATCTGTCGAAGTGTTTATGTCTCATGATTTGTCTCTCGGACCCGGGAAAGGGGGAGCCAGGCCACCTCGCCAGGAGTCCAAGAAATGGGACTCCGCAGCTCCATTTTTTGCCGCCGGAAGTTCAGGAAGGCGGCAACCACTCGAATTCCCTGGAAGAACTCGGATCGCCACATCTACCCTCCTTATTCCCCTTTTCTTATTTTGGAAGGTCTTCTGTGTCCGAAGGGGTCGTGCATCCCATGAAAACTCTTGCTTTCTTGAGCAGAAGAGTTTCGACACCTTGGTTTGTTCCTGAGCTGCCAGAAAAATGAATGTGTTCCGCAGCAAAGCACGACCTTTTAGCAGAGCGGAGGTGCGGCAGGCGATTGAAGTGTCGAAAGCGACAATCACGCCCTGTGCCGAGTGTCACGAAGACTCACGTACGTGGACCCCCAGACGGAAGATGTGCGAGGCTTGGCACACAGCGGGGGGGGGGGCGGGGGGGACGCGACAGAGCAGGCGCGCTGCTGAGCAGTCCCAGGAGCGGTTCAGGGGAAACAAGGAGCACGAGAACGATCCGAAATCTCATTCTCCAGCCCAGCCCAGCCCCAAACCGCTCCGTGGCGCCCCCCATGGAGGTGTCAAGTGCTCGCAAACCGGCGGAGAAGAGGTTAATTCCTCGTTTCCTGACCCTCCGGGCATGGTAGAAAGCTGATAATTTGCAGAAATCCGGGTCTGGGTTTCTAAAGGGATCGCGAGATACCCGCTAGTTCAAGAAACCACATTCTAGACAGGGAGAGGGGAAGGCGAGGATCTTCTTGGAAATCCCGGGGAAGCGCCGCCGCGGAGCGAGCGCCCACATTTGCCGGCGGGGCTTCTGGAGGCTGGCGGACGCGTGCAGACGCCCCAAGCCCAGCCTGCTGGGCCCCGATTCTGGGAGCTCCCTTGAACTCAGTCTGCTGAACAGAAGGGGGGGGGGCTCACCAGCTTCATTACTATCATGCATCCCGAGCCCGTGCATGGTTTACTCGGAGTAAGACATGTACAAAGTGCAAGGAAACGGGCATAGACTCGCAGGCGTTGCTGGGGAGTATTAATCAGAAACTCAAAGCTGATTCTCTGTATCGCCTGACCAGTTTTGGTTTAGTCTAAAACCCATATTAGATTTAAAAGGAATCCTGTCTATTCATTACGAACATGCGATAAAGCCTCCAATTCTACTCGCACTTACTTGAATGTTGGCGTCATTGGAAGTAATCGCACTCCTAAGTTTAGGATCTGTTTGCCGGACAGGTGCGGTCCCAGCTAAAAGAGCAACGTCGAAAAAGTTGCCTTTTTAAAACCTCCGCAAGTCAAAAAATTCCGATTTTAGTTCATAGTCCCCTAAAACAGTCAGCCAGAAAGCCTGACAAACAGAATATTTGTGTGTTTCCTAGGAAGTAAGTCAGATGTACAGAGGAAAGCACCTCCGGTCCATGTATGGGGAACACAGCTTCGGTGCGCGATCCTAGACGTGCTTACCGAGAAAGAACCCGCGCTGTGTTCACTGGGACTTACTCTCTCGGGTGCACTTCGGATTGCAGCCTGTGAGACATCAGAGGGTGAACTCTGGAGGCATTTCATACACTTGATACGAATTTCGAAGTGATCGGGTTGGGGGGAGGGGGGCATTGGTCACCATCAGAACCAGTTCCATGAGACGGTTTTTATGAAGGATCAATACATGTTTTTCTGATTTAGGTTGACCAAGAACAAACTGGGCAAGTCTGTTCTGCCCTCATTGGATTCATTTAGGGTCTCGAGAAGATGCCATGTGCATTCGACAGTGTACAGTGACTCAGAAGCTGCTTCCACTGAGTCCAATGGGACTCAATCATCACACTGGGCACATCTGCACATTTAGTTCGTGCTCAATGCGTGTTTAGCCTCCCCTAGCCTGCTACCCCTCTGGCTGTTCATGGGCCATGACGGCTGGGGATGATGGGAGTTGAAGGCCACAATACCTGGAGGGTGCCAGATCGGTGCAGGTTCCGAGGGAACAGAGGAAGCTGCTCTACACAAGGTCCATCTCATCTAATAGTGCAGACAGCCCAGGTCTGCGTTACGGTAGCGGCATATACACCCGTTAAGGAAATACACGAATGAATGAGATGCTTGGCACTGCGTGGCAGCGGCCTTCAGCCGGGGACAGGACCTGCGGCCTGCGACGTGGCGAGCGGGGGTCCCGCCGCCGAGCCCCGGCCCTTCGCGGCTGGACCTGGCCGCGGCGGCGCGGCGCCTGCCCTTCCCTGCCGCGGCAGATGCCTGGGAAGCGCTTCCTCCGCCGGCCCAGCCCGCCCCTCGGGGCAGAGCGCGGCGCCCCGGCCGCCCGTCGGGGCATCCCTGCCCGCGCGCGGGAGGAGCCGGGCGCTGTCTCTTTAAGGCAGGAGAGGTGGCGGAGGAGACGAAAAAAAAGGAAAGAAAGAGGCTCCCGACCCCTCCCCGCCGCTGTCAATCAGCCGGCGGCGGCTTTGAAGTCGAGAGCCTTCGGCTGGGGCGCTCTGGGGCGCTCTTCGCGGCTCGCGCGCTCTCCGGCGCTCGCTCGCTCGCTCCTCTCCGCTCCGCTCCGCTCCTGCCCGCGCGGGCGCTCCGTGCCTTCCCAGCAGAGCCCGCTGGCGCTCCCGCCGCCGCCGCCGCCGCCTTCTCGCCCGAGCTGGGCTGGTTGCTACTTAGTCAAACTTTCCTGGGGCTGGGAGGGAGAGACAGACAACGAGACACTGTGGGAGAGGCAGGCAGGCAGGCAGGCAGGCAGGCAGGCAGGCAGGCAGGCGGGTGGATTGCTGCCTCGGTCCCTCCGATTGTCTTTTCCTCCCGCTGCGGTTGCCTGCGAACTCCTTCCTTCCCAAGTTAAACTGGAAAAGTGGGACAATCTCCTCGTGGCGCGGTGAGACCGGTAACTAGATCGCCAAACATCTCCCTCCCTCCCTCCTCCCCCGCCTCCCCCCCCCCGCCCTTCCCCCCCCCCCCCCCCCCCCCCCCCCCCCGCCTTTCCCCTCCTCCCCCCCCCCCACTTAAATCCCTACTCTCCTTCCTCGCGCCAACGCAGAACTTCGCTCGCTCCTCGCGTGGCTCCGGGAAGAAAATGCCCCAGCTCAGCAGCGGCGGTGGCGACGATCTGGGAGCCAACGACGAGATGATCGCCTTTAAGGACGAGGGCGAGCAAGAGGAGAAGATCCAGGCCAACGTCTTCACCGAGGGCGATCTGGCTGACCTCAAGTCCTCCCTGGTGAACGAGTCCGAAAGCACCACCGGCGGCGGCGGCGGCGGCGGCGGCAACCAGCCCTCTGGCGCGGCGAGCAGAGCCGCGGCGGCTGCAGAATCCCACTCCGAGGTGAGAGACCGAGCCCGCCGCCCGCCGCCGCTTGCAGTTCGTTTTCCCTGCTGATTACGGGGATGAGTTCAAACTTTAAAAAAAAAAAAAAACCAAATAACCCCTGACCCCCCCTTTTCTTTTTTCGCTTTCCGCACAGGCAATCAGGCGCCTGCAAGATCCTCAAAGGGTCTATCCAGAGAAACTCCCGGATCACATGGAGGATGGTCAGTTTCGGAATCCATTCATTCTTCCTTAATTTTATCCCCCCGCCGCCTCTCCTCGACGCCCACCCTTTTTCATGCTAAACTGGCGAGAGCACTGCTGGGGGGCGGAGAGGGGTTGATGTTGACAGCGCTGGTAGTCGGGGAAGGAAGCTTCCGTGCCCTTCTGCTAAATCAAAGCAGGCAAAACACACACACACCCGAGGAAGAGGGACTTTGATTTGCCGGTGGGAGCCCTTCTCCGCTGAGCTAGGACGGCCCAGCCGATTGAAACCTAATAAGTATCAACAATCTCCTCCCTTCTCCGCCCCCCAATGCTCATGATTTGAAAGGTGATTAAAAGAATGGTTTATACCAGGATGGAGAGAAAGAAGAGAGACCTGGGCAGGAGGCAAAGGTCGCTCCTCCCGCTCCTGGCGCAGCTCTGGCTCTGAAGCAGGTCAGGTCCGGGCCTGGATGGGAGACTCACCTGGGAACCCCCGGAGGAGGGGCAGGCTGGGGCCAGATACCTGGAGCAGCCTCCGTGCAAGCACCTCTCCCTGCTTAAGCACAGCTTTAAGAACGGGCTGCTGTGCTGCTGGATCAAGAGCAGTGCAGGTAGAGGGGTAAACAACACCACACACAACTGGGATACCAGACCGCCTTCCTTTTGCTTAAGGTATATGCGGCTGCTTTGGTACCGTCCAGCAAGGTGGGACTTTGGGTTGAGATGCGCTTGTGACAGTGTCGTGTTTCAGACGGAGGAACGATAAAGCAAAAAAAGAGATGCACATGGCCAGGCAGTGTTTCCCCTTGAGAGGTGCTGCTCTGTAAGAATAAAGGGATGCACCTTGTTTTACAGCAAGGACAAGTGCAACACACCGGGCACTGGAAGACCGTAATGCTCAGCTTTTCTTTTAACAGGTCTAAAGCATCAGGACCCAGGGATGTACAAAGGATCTGCTTACTCTGGATACCCGTTCCTCATGCTGTCCGACCCTTACCTGCCAAATGGGTCCATGTCACCTCTGGTGAGTTTACTCCCCTTTTGCTACATAATGTTGCCTAACATTTCAAATAATCGTCATGTTTGTAGTAGACTAGTACAGAGCGTGCAGAGGGCTTGACCCCCATAACTGGAAGATTATGGTTTAGACCCACAGTTGACCTGCTGCTGACTCCCTCCATGGCCAGAACGAACTGGGGCCCAGCAGAGTCTTCTTGCTGGAGGGCGGAGTAGCGATTTCTCCGATTCTTCCCCCTCTTGCTGCCCCACAACATCTCACACCCAGTTCTGGACAGATTCCAAGCTCTCCAGAGTGGATATCTAGGGACACAGGGGGCTGCAGAGGGGTTAAGTTAATCTCCTGAAACTTATCTATTAAAATAAAATAGGAAAGTATAAAAAGATGTTGCAAGCAAACACAACTAGACTGACCTAATTAAGAATGATGATTTATTTCTTGAAAATATCAATTTTAGTTTCCTCCATCTGGTTCAGGCTTTTTGTTTCTATTGAAATTAGAGTGTCTTGAGGTTAATGGGGCTTGTATATTGCCATGTAAAAATGCATAGGATTGGAGCATTAAATATCTGTTTTCATTCAGGCATGCATGGGTAGAGAGGCTGGAGTGACGTACTTTCAAGGGCTTTTACAGTATAATTCTTAAGCATGTTTATTTAAAAGTAAATCCCACTGTACTTGATGGGATGTACTCCCTTGTACACATATTTAGGATTATTTCCCCCCTTCATTCCCTTTGAACAATAACATCAGCTCTGAGATTATTTCAAGAAGGCAAACATTTTGTTGGAAAGGGATTTTCATACTGATGGACCTAGTTTGTTCCTTGCAAGAGTCCAGTGACAAGCTAGAAATGGTTTTAGTCTTTGCAAAGTAAGATTTCTGAATATGGGCACGCAATGCACTTCACTGTAGTACTTTGCATACACTTAACAATTTGTTTTACACAAAAATATCATCAAAAGCACACTTTCCTTATATTGGCAATGTGGGGAAGCTACTGTAGCTAATTACCGGAATCCTCCAGCAGACAAAGGGAAGCTCTGCCCTCTTACGTTCCTTATGTTTGATCTATAATTGTGTTTTGGAACTCTACTATGGATAGTGGTAACTGAAAAGTTACAAAGGGACCCAATATTTCATACTTGCTTTTTATCATCTTTGGTATCATTTAAAACAGATCTGAAAATTAGTATTTTCCTATTAAGTCATAGGGATTGCAAAACAAAATGCACACAGTAAAGACATATTAATAAGCTAGTTCCAATTAAAAACCGATGGCACTTTCAGTATGCTGTGAAACTCTCTTGCACATGGCAACAATTTGCATTTGTATGCATCCTCTAAGATTATTATAATACTGTAGGCATCAGGCTGTGGTCCCAGACCCACTCATTGGAAAGTGGGGCCTGCATATATCAAAAGGGCGTTTGGAGTTGGTGTGTTTGAGGTTGGTGTGTTTGGAGCTTCTACACTGCAGGAAGATGGTTGCAGTTGAGTTTTGAGTTTGACTTTTTCCTGTAGTAAACACAGAGTGGGGGGGGGGGAGTGAAATTAATTTTTAAAAGTTTCTTTTCCTGCCTATTGTTTTACTGATTATAAAGCTTCCCGTGTAATGATTAAACAGCATCGCCTTTTGCATGTTCTGATCTTGATAAAGCCGCTTCCAATTGTTATACCTAAGAGGGATGCCAGCACTAAATTTTAAACTGTTGTGCGGTGCAGTCCTATGTATATTTACTTGAAGTAAGTCCTATTGTATGTGGTATCACTTACTTCCAGGTAAGTGGATGTAGAATTAGAGCCTCATTTACTTGGGGGAGTCCTACTGTTCACAGTAGGAATTGCTTCCATGTTGTTACAGAAAGGATTGTGCTGTTCAGCCCAATTTTGTGCCTTTGAACTATAATGTGATTGCACTTGGTATGAGAACAGGCTCCAGATTGTGTTGCTCTTTTGCTCCCTGGATCCTATTTAAGGAGCCTGCAGGCAGGACCCAAATTGCTAGCACCACATAACCATTTTGCCGGAATATTGTGTGCTCTTCTCATACAACGAACGAGGAGAATGTGCAAGTGAGAAAACAATGGCAGTCCATTAGGTTGGTGTTTTTGTTTGGTTTAATTGAACATGCAGTCGGCACTGCCGGATCTTAAAGTTATAAATAGACAGCTAGTTTGTCGGACAGCTGATGTCAGAGAGAGGTGTGAGTCTGCTCAGCAATGCTTTAGATAAAACAACCCTTTGAAAGATAGAAAAGACAAAACACGGGGGCAGGATTTTAAATGACTTAGAGAAAACGGTGGAAACTATGGGAGGTAGCAAACATAACTATTGAAGGTGGACTCTCTGAGAAAGAGACAGTGGACAGAGGGAGGCCAGCGTACATCCCAGGGTGAAGACCAGACCCTTCTGGATCAGACCCAAGGTCTGTCCAGTGCTGCATCCTGTTTCTTGCCGGAGGCCTCCAGCAAGCCACAAGCGGCTCACGAAGGGCCTGGTTTGTCCCACAGCTGAAGAATAATGCCTGGACAATGCGCTCTTGGCTAATGCATGTTGCTGGACCTTGTCACACCACCATTTCCTTTTAAGACCATCTCAGCCATTGTCTGTACTTGGTCTTGTGGCAGCGAGTTCCACGTTCAAATGCTGTGCACAGAGGGGAACGCTTCATCTCCATCCCATTTCTCTGCCCCTCACACACTCTATAATGCCTTCCGTCAGCTGCTGACTCTCAGCCTGGCCCTCTTCACAGGGCTGTTGTGCAAAGGTGGAGGATTGTGCCTTGCGGGGAAAAGGGGAGATATAAATGTAATACACAGTTAGAATAAATAAATGTCCCCCACCCCCAACTAGGAAACTAAAAACACACCACTCTTTCTCCATAAGGAACGAACGACAGCCCCTGGTTCATGTATGCCCCTCAATGGGGAGCACAAGCAAGTGGGTGGCATTGCATCTCATCTAACCAGGTCCTTCAGGATCTGGTTAGCCACTATGGGACCAAAATGCTGACTGAGAAAGGCTGTTGGTCCAATCCAGAAAGCTGCTCTTATGTTTTGATCATTTCATTTCTTTTCTGTGCATTCCCCAGTTCTGTGATAGCAGTTTTGAAATGGCAGTGTAAGTGTGTGTGTGCGTGAGTGTGTTTTAAAATTTTTTAAGAGAGATTCCAGGCAGTTCCTTTCCAACAAGGATCAAAGTGTGCTTTGCTGTGAACGTAACTAAATGCAGTTATTAATTTAAAAAAAACTTATTCAGACAAAGACAGAAAATTGCCACTGCAAGTTATAAGAACAATGGGGGGATGTCTGTGAATGAAAATAACAGCCTGTACTACTAGCAGAGTGAGGTGAGAATAACTAGGAAAGTTAATGCTGCGCTCCGTCTCCAAACCCTAAAGAATAATAAATAATGGGAGCTGGAAACCAAATGGAATCTGAAATAGAATTTGGGTTCACTTTACATGAAAACAAGAGCAGAGAGCTCAGAGCATATATATATATATATATATATATATATATATATATATAGCGATTTATATCCTGCCTTTTTCCTACAAAGGGCTCAAGGCAGCTTGCATCATTCTCCTCCTCCATCTTATCCCCACAACAACAACCCTGTGAGGTAGGCTGGGCTGAGAGTCTGTGACTGGCCCAAAGTCACCCAGTCGGCTCCATGGCTGAGCGGGGACTAGAACCCAGATCCTCTGAGTCCCAGTCCCAGGCTCTTAACCACTACGCCACACTTACTGGGCCTGAACCAGGAAACAGCAGCAGTATTCTGCTGCCATGTTGAGATTCGTGTGCGTGCACCAAACCCGATTCAGAAGCAAGCAGTGCTGCCCGGACTGTTGATGCCGTTCTTACTGGTTCCGTGGGCAACGACATCGGACTGAGGCCAGCCCCTGCGTCTCCCCGCTTCTCCCTCTGAACACATGGCAGGCACCTGTGCAACGGATTGCACGGGTCATTAGTGGCACAGGTACACTGCGCATGCCATGATTGGTGCATGATGGGGCAGCCTTCCCCCTGCTCAGGAACCTTTTGCCTTTTACTCTGGGGCTGGTCCGCACTTAAATCAACTTGTCTGCTCCTAGGCTATTGATTGTAATGCAGACAAAGCTGGAGGTGGGTCTGGTTTTCAAGAGCCTCCCTGCACCTCCAATATTTGCTAAGAATTAGAGGAAGGCATTGTTCTGCTTCATCAAAACAGAAAAGGGAGGAATGTCTGGTTTTATGGCATTCACTAGACTTTGTGTCTTCTGTCATATTGCTGGTGTGAGCTGTGAAGCACTGATGACCTTTCTAGAGAGGAACAAGCGCAGGGTTGGGGGACTAGTGGGCATCTGGATGCTGCTGGACAACAATGCCTATCATCCCTGACCAGTAGTCATACTGGCTGGAGCTGATGGATGGTGCAGTCCAGAGATATCTGGAAGCTCACAGGTTTCCCAGCCCTGAATGAGATGGTTACAGAGAAGGGTACGTAGGTCTTGATTGTTTTGTGTGCAGTTGTTTAAATTAAGGGGAAAATGCAATTTATATAATGTAGCTTCATTGACTGAGCTGAGAGAGAGGGTAACTACAGAAGAATTCAGCTTATGTGAAAATGGGGGACTATTGAAATGTTAAATAGCTTATTCAGTTAACTACCACTTACATTCTGTTTAATTTTAATGAAGCAGAGTCTGTGTCAAGCTTGCCCACTTGCTTTCTGGCCCATTCCAGAGTGGTATGTAGTTTCTAACACCAGCCCAAAAGTCACTCAGTGAAAATACTGGATGGTGCAAGGCCTTTGTAGACCTGAAAGGAAGCACTACTGGACACAGCAAACATTAAGAAAAGACACCAGCCTTCCCTCATCTGCAGCAATGGGGATGCTGGCGAGTGATGGCTGGGGATGATGGGGGTCCTAGTGCAATGCATCTGGGGTATGCCTGGTTGAGGAAGATTGATAGGAGCGTACGAAGCTGTTTCCCACTGAGTCCAATCACACTCCCATGTA